GCCTTGGGGCATGTGTATTCACTAGAGACAGACAGACACACACAGTGAAAGGAAAAGGGACAAATCACCCACTCCACCCCAACCCCAGGGAGGATGGCCACAATGCAATCCCTTTTCCTTCATTCTCCTGGCATCTTGGGCAGGTATGCACGCACGTCCGGCATGATTTTTAAGCCACTGGATCTGGGACTCGAAACACGGTCAGTCATGTAGGAGTCAAGTGATGTTACCACTATGCCATCTGCTGGTCCTGATTTCCTGTTTTTAATCCTCAATCTCTATATTTATTGAGTTTTTTTTTTTTAATTTTTCTTATTGTCTCCTACGGGTTTTTTCTATTAAGAAAGTTGATTCTCCACATATGCTACAGGTACATACTGTCATCTTTTACTCAGTACTTCCTAATGAGTGTTTTTTTTAAATGTAGTTTAATCTACTTACCATTTCTTTTTAAGAGGTTTTTGCCTTAGGGCATGTGTGCTCTCTAGAGAGAGAGAGACAGAGACAGTAAGAGGGAAACTGAGAACTCATCCCTCATGGGTATGGCCATGCAGCAATTCCTTCTCCATTCTCCTCCCAGAACCTTGGTTGGACATGCACACACACACAGCCAGAGTGAGTTTCAAATCTTGAGGTCCAGGACTAAAACTGCGATTGGCCATGTGGGAGTTCAGCAAAATAACCACCATACCATCTGCTTATCTTATCTTTTCTTCTTTAAGATTCTATTTAACTTATTTATTTATTTATTTAAATTTGACAAGAGACAGACAGAGTGAAAGGGGGGAGGAGTGAGAAAGCAAGCCATCAGGTCTGGGACTTGAACTGTGGTCAGTCATGAGGAGTCCAACGCCCTTAACCACCATGCCACCTGCCAGCCCCATCTTTTCTAAATTCTACCCTTACAGTATGTGTGCACATGCCCAATATTCCAAAAGGATAATGGAGAAGGAATTGTGACATGGCCACCCCCCAGGGGAGTAATTTATCACTTTCTGTCTTTTTGTCTGTCTCTCTGGCGAGCACATGCACCCTATATGAAAACTCTCTTTAAAAAAAAAAAAAAAAAAAAAGAAAAGAAAAAGAAAGAAAGAAAGAGGGACCATCAATTGGCGTAATGGCTATGTCGCTGGACTCCCATGTAGTTGACCGTGGTTCAAGTCCTGAACCCAGTGGCTTAAACTCCCGCTGGGCACGTGTGCGTGTGTACCCAAGATCCTGAGAAGAGAATGAATAAGAAGGGATTGCAGCATGGCCATCCCCCCGGGGGTGATTTCTCACTTTCTCTCTCTCTTTCTGGCTAGCGCACACGACCTATAGCAAAAACTTCTCCAAAAAATAATAACTAAAAAAAAAAACAAGCAGAGAGAGAGAAGATGGCAGATGGTGTGATGGCACTGGACTCCCACATTACTGACTGTGTTTCAAGTTCCACACCTGGCAGCTTGGTTTCTCACTTTCTCTTGTGCATTTTCTCTCTCTCATTAGAAAAAAATAACGATGATGGGGCTGGCAGATGGCTTGGTGGTTAAGAGCGCTGGACTCTCACATGGCCGACTGTGGCTTGGTGGTTAAGGGCGCTAGACTCCTAAATGGCCGACTGTGGTTTGAGTCCTGAACCTGGAGAGTTGCTTTCGCTCGCTCGCGCTCACTCTCTCTCTCTCTCTCACTCACTCTATCCCTCTCAGATCAAATTGAAATAAATAAATAAATAAATAAATGAATAAATAAAGTTAAAGAAAAAAGAAAAAAAGAAAACGATGATGATAAATAAAATTAAATAATTTTTAAAAAGTTCTGGTGATTATTTAATAAAAGATAAACTTCGCTGATTCTAAAATTTAATTTTTCTTTTTTTAAATGTCACACTAATATCTAATCAGATATAAGATAGTCCTCAATGACATAAGTATTTACACATTGAATACAAATAAATATTCGTTGATTAATTTTGCATCCCTATAGTCCATTCTCTGTTGCATTTCTCTATGCCTTTTGAAAATCCTTTTCTTTCCTGCTTTCAAATCTACTTTTGTGGGGAACCAGCAGTTAGCGTAATGGCTATGTCGCTGGACTCCCACGTAGTCTACTGCAGTTCACGTCCCGGACCCGGTGGCTTAAAACTCACGCCGTGCGCGTGTGCGTGCGTGCCCAAGATCCTGAGAGGAGAATGGAGGAGAACGGATTGCGGCGTGACCACCCCCTCTGGGGGGGTGATTTCTCACTTTCTGTCTGTCTGTCTGTCTGTCTGGCGAGCGCATGCGCCTTATAGCAAAAAAAAAAAAAAACCTCTTCAAAAAGAAAACCTCTTCAGCAAGAAAAAAAAATCTACTTTTGTGGGGACCAGCAGGTGGTAGGGTGGTTAAGGAGCTGGATACTTCTATATGGCCGCCAACCACAGTTCAAGTCCCGGACCTGGTGGCTTGCTTTCTCACTTTCCCTTTCTCTCTCAATCTCTGTCTCTTTCTGTGTGTGTGTGTGTGTGTGTGTGTGTGTGTGTGTGTATGTGTTGTGTCTGGGCAAGTTAAAATAAATGAATGAATAAATAAAATTAAGAAATAATTCTTTTAAAAAATAAACTTTTGGCTCTGGTTTTACACACTATATTTCTACTAGTTTCTCCTTAGCTGGTATAGCAAAAAAGTCTTCAGTGGGATCATGTGGAAGAACAGTCTTTGGCTCTTTCTTTCTCGGCTTCTGCACATCCTTCACTTGCTGCTTCTCTGTATTTTGCAGCAGTGATGGATCTTACAACACACCAATGCATGTGTGGTGACTGTTAGTGAGGATTTTCAATATAAAGTTGGTCCTCCAAAACTTCCCTGGAAAATCTTTATGAGGTTTAGGACAAAATGAGGTCCTACTGTCATAAGAACAGCATCATCTTCTATGATTTGAAAGTTCTAAAATGATATCCTATTATCCAAAATGCTGAAAGTAAACACATGGGCCACAAATGGTTGACTTTTAGGATGATACCGTGGCGTACTAAAGATCTGCATTAGGAGTTCTTTTAATAAAGCATAATGTGGTAATTCATCAAAAGAAAGGTCAAAAGACAAAAGGGGTCGAGAACCTTTCAAACAGTTTCCAGTCAGCTTTAGTTCAGCGAGCACATGAATATTTTGAACAAGGAATTTAGCAGATGATCCATGAGGGGAATCTGAAAGCCACATGTAGAGATCCCGTTTTTTCTTAGCTTCAAAATAGAGGCATTTATTGTAGTTTTTGTGTATGCTCACCAGAGAGACATGAGAGAAAAAGTGAGAAATCACCTGCAAAGGGAATGGTTATGCCACAATTCCCTCTCCTTTCTAATCTGGGATTTGGGGCAAGCATGCACAAGCACAAGGTGTGATTTTCAAGCCACCAAGTCCAGGACTCAAACCATGGTTGGTCATGTGGCAGTACAGCACCTTAACCACTATGCCATCTGATGGCCCCCCTTTTTCTGTTTTTTTTTTTTTTTTTCCCTTTTTTTAATTGCCAGAGAAAGACACTTGTGCACTTGTAAGAGAAAGACAGAGACAGAGAGCGAGGAAATGAGAGGGAGAAAGTATTCCTCAATGGGGCAGTCATGCTGCATTCACTTCTCCTCCATTTCTCCATTCTGTCAGGATACTACACATGCATGACCATATGCCCAGCATGTTTTTTAAGCTACCAGGGCTGGAAACCAAACCACAGTTGGCCATGTGGGATCTGGTTCCCTTAAGCATGAGGCCACAGGACCAGTCCTACCATATCGTCTTAATTTTAAAAAACCAAGTTTTTTTCTTTTAAAAAAAATACTTTTTATTGGGAACCAGCAGTTAGCGTAATGGCTATGTCGCTGGATTCCCACGTAGTCGACTGCAGTGCGCGTCCCGGACCCGGTTGCTTAAAACTCACGCCGGGCGCGTGTGTGTGCGTGCCCAAGATCCCGAGAGGAGAATGGAGGAGAAGGGATTGCAGCGTGACCGTCCCCCCTGGGGGGTGATTTCTCACTTTCTGTCTCTATGTCTATCTCTGTCTGGCGAACACATGTGCCCTATAGCGAAAATCTCTCCAAAAAAAAAAAAAAAAAAACTCATAAAAAAAAAATGTATTTTTTTATTTAATTTTATTTACTATTGGTTATTATTTTCAATTTGCTATAGGACAATGAGGTCACGAGAGAGAGAGAGAGAGAGAGAGAGAGAGGGGAGAGAGAGAGAGAGAGAGAGAGAGGATAAAAGCAAGCTGCCAGATTCGGGACTCAAAACTCAATCGGCTATGTGGGAGCCCAGTGCCTTAACCACCATGCCACCCACTGGCCCCCAAAAACAAACTTTTAAATTTAGCAACATTTTAAGTAATAACATCTGTGTAATCAGTTTTGATGTTCTGGTCATTATTTTCCTACTTCACACCAAAATACACACACTTACTAAAATAATGTCTTTTAGAGGCTCACCAGTCACATTTTAGATCACGTAGAGCACAATCCTAAAATCTCTGCAGTTATTCTGGAATCTCTGCACAGTAAGCAGTAATTTGTTAAACTAGAAGGAAATTTAAAAGCATTTGGGGGCAGTCCCATAGTCTAGTGGTTAAGGGAGCTAGGTTCCACATGGTTGACTGTGAGCTCCAACCCTGGCTGCTTAAAACACACGTTGGGCTCATGTGAGTGCATGCCCAGAGGAGGGAGAAATGGAGAAGGGACTGCAGCATGACCACAACCCGTTGGGTGCTACCTCCCCTTACTTCCTTCCCCTACGCTTTGGAAATGAACAATTTTTTTTTTAATTGAGGGTTTAATCTTGTTTTATAGATTAAAAGGTTAAAACCCAGAGAAATTATTGAAGTGATCTGTCCCCAAATCACACCCAAAGAGATCTGTCCAAGGTCACATGGATTTTTTAATGACATGTCTATGATTGGCATTCAGGTTTTCCATCATTCCAGCATATTTTCAACTGTGTCCACATAGATCATAGTACAATGATACAGTTATCAGTAATTTTTCATCTGTTACCTACCTCACTCTTCCACTCAGATTTAGCTGAACATGCTGCTTAAAATCTGGATATTTGGATGCCAGATATGCAAAGTCAGGAGGTTTGTCCTTGTATCTATTTCTTGCATGCATTGATTTACTCAGAGCCATCTTAAAAAAAAAAAAGAAAAAGGAGAAAATCAGCATATTTAGCCAAAAAGTAATTAATAGGGAAAAGTTGTGAATGCTAAGTCAATAGTTAACAGCCAATACATCTTTGCCAATCAAGTGAGAAAGTAGAAATTATATTTGTAAGTGTATAAAACAAAAAATAGGTTGTGGTTAAGCTCGTGTGCGGCACTGGTATCGGCAGTTACTGCACTGAAGAAAGTCTGGGGCAATGTCTCACACCATTTTGCTAGTAGAGCCCACCAAGAGGCCAGAAGGCAGAACTTACGCCAACTATGATTCTGTGAATGAATGCATGGAAGGTGTTTGTAAAACGTATGAAGAACATCTGAAGAGAATGAATCCCAACAGTCCCTCCATCACATACGGTATCAGCTGTTTGATTTCATCGAAGATCTGGTAGACCTCAGCTGCCTTCTTTACCAAGCTGATATCCAGACATACCAGCCATTTAACAAAGACTGGATTAAAAAACAAGCCTGGAAATAATTGAGCTAGAAGCATTAGGGGGGTGGGGGTGGACAGTGCCATTGGTGAAATGTTTGTATCATAGTATCCTGTTTCCATTTTATTCCTCTAGCCAAGACCGAATGTATTTGATGAAATGTGAGAATCTTGCTCAATCTCAACCCGTGTTGCCCCTTTTTCTTCTTTTTTTTTTTAATTTAAACATTTTTATAATGCTTTAGATGGAGGTTGCTCCCTGTCAGTTAATATTGACTCCAATCTTTCAAACTGTTCATGTATCTGTTTTGTAATGCTCACTGTACTAACCCTTCAAGATGGGGTGGGAAGTGGTAATACAGTTTAGTTATGTCTTCAAGATAAAGTCTTAGTGAAAAATAAATAAAAGTTCTTTAGTTAAAGAAAAAATTTTCTTAAATAAATAAATAAAAAGAAACCAAAAAAACATATACATAGGGCCAGCAGGTGGTGCCTGGTTAGGCACTGGACTCCTACATGGCTGACCACGGTTTGAGTGCCAGACCTGGAGGTTTGCTTCCTCACTTTCTGATTCTCTCTCTGGTGAGCACAAATGCCCTATAGCAAATTTAAAAGAAATAATAATAATAAATGAAATAATTATTTTTAAAAATACATATACAAATAGGCACTTTAAAAAATGCTCACCATGATTAGTTATAAAGGAAATGCAAATGAAAAACAAACATTAGGGGCTGGTAAGTGGCATGGTGGTTAAGGCTGACCATGGTTTGAGTTCTGGACCTGGCAGGTTGCAGGCTAATGTCCCCCTCCATGCCCATTTCTCTCTGGTCAAACTAAAAAATAATAATAATACTAATAAAGAAATAAAAGTAAACAATCAATTCTAAAAACAAAAACACACATTAGGTTGGCTATTACAAACAAAAAATAAATAAAAAACAAAATAAAAATAACAAATGTTTGCAAGGTTGTAAATAAATCAGAGCCCTCACATATTACTGGTGGGAACGAGCGATGGTGCAGCTGCCACGATATACACTTTCATGGTTCTTTAAAAAGCTAAAACAAGGCCAGCCCAGTAGTGCAATAGAAAAGGAAGCTAGATCCCACATGGCTGATTACAGCTCAAGTCCCTGAAGCTTGAGGAACACACTGGACACAAACACCTGTATGTACATGCCCAGAGACCCAATGGGACAAAGAAAAGGAGAGACTGGGGCCAGATAGCGGTTAGGGCACTGGACTCCCATGTGGTCAACTGCAGTTCAAGCCACAGACCCAGTGGCCTGAAATTCAAGCTGGGCACGTGTGCATGAGCCCAAAATCTCAAAAGGAGAATGAAGAAGGGATTATGGCATGGCCAACCTCCCATGGGAGAGTGATTCCTCACTTCCTGTCTGTCTCTCTGCCTCTCCAGCAAGTGTATGAGCCCTGTAGCAAAATCTTTCTCTCTCTTCCTCAAAAAAAAAAAAGGAGACTAATTGATTGCAGGTAACCACACCTCGTCTCTTTCTAGCTTCGGAGCATACATGCCCTGTTAAAAAAAAGATAAATAAACAACAAAAAAAATTTTTTAAACCAAACACAGGGGCCAGCAGATGGTGTAATGGTTATATTGCTGAACTCCCACATAGATGACCACAGTTCAAGTCTTAGACATGGTGGCTTGAAAAATCTTGCTGGGCAGGTGCGCATAAGTACCCAAAATCCTGAGACGAGAATGGAAGAGAAGGGACTGGAGAAAGGCCATCCCTCCTGGGCAGTGAGTTCTCATTTTCCCTGTCTGGCAACAACTTATGCCCTTTAAAAAAATAAATAAATAAAAGTCCAACACAGAGCCAGCAGGTGGTCTGGAGGTTAAGGCGGCTAGATCCACATGGCCAGCTGTACAGTTGGACTCCTAAATCCTGAACCAGGCGGCTTAAAAAACATGCCAAGACCTGTACTTTTGTGCCCAAAGTCCCGAGAGGAAAACAGAAAAGGGATTGCAGCATGGCCATCCTCCAGAGAGTTTTTCTCAAGTTCTCTTTCTCTTTTTCCAGTGAGTGTGGGCGCCCTATAGCAAAGTAAAAACAAAACACAAAAAAAAGTCAAATACAGAATTACTATATGATTTAGAAATTCCACTCCCAGATATATTCCGGAAAAGAACTGAAAGCAAGGACTGAAACAGGTATCTATACATCAATGTTCATGGCAGCATTATTTACAATAGTGAGAGGTGGAAATGACCATGTCCATTACAGAAATGGATGAACAAAATATGGCAAATATATAAATAAATATTATTTGGCCATAAAAAGAAAAGAAATTCTGATATATGCTACAGATACCCTCAAAACATTATATTAAGGGAAATAAACCACACACAAAAAGACAAAAATTGGGAACCAGCAGTTAGCGTAATGGCTATGTCGCTGGACTCCCACTTAGTCGACCGCGGTTCGTGTCCCAGACCCG